GATTCAAAGCACGTACATACGTTTGTGACGTAGATATATAATTTAAATATTATCCTTCTGCCTGATAATAGGTAGTTGAAATCAAACGTATCCTCATGTTGACATAAAGTCACGAACTAGGTACCTAGAGATTTCATGAGGTCGTTCAGGGTAAGCATGCATGCACCTCCACGTAATCTGTCAGGGACATCTACCGCCACGCCCCACTAAGCTACATGCCAAATACCTAGCAGAAGGCTAATTTACAGTTGTGTGAGAGGTATCTATGAGAACCGGGCTCTGTAAATGTTAGCGGGACACTTTTAAAGGTGACGCCCCCCAAGAGGACGCTTGGCAATAGCGTACCTAGGCTACGACAATACAAATGATACAGCACCCGGTCTTGAAATGATCTGTCCCTTTGTGAGCCAAGACACGAGACAACATTTCTCAACAAACATCAAGTGTACCAAACGAAACACAATTCGGCCTCTATTCGATTGCTGCTAGCATTCATCAACAAGTTCGCCGGACGGACATTGAACGCGTAGATCCCTTTGCGACTTCGACCCTGAAATGCGATACAGATAAGAGCTCCCAAAGATTCGACGGCCTCCAACAGTATCCAACTTGAAGAACAAAGACGAACATCGCATTTCCCGACAAGGAACACGAGGGAGGAAGTCTTACAACCAGAAAAGCACGACTACGAAAAGAATCGTAAACGTCCTCATATCACCGCCGCAGCATGTCTGAGCAGCACCGCTAGCTCCCATCCTCCATTCTTCACCTTTAACACAGCACCTTTTCTATTCCTCCTCATCGCCAGGAGCTTAGCCAGGGATGCCGCCCTCACCACGATATCGAGCTTCCGACCCACCCGACTCTCCCGCGAATGACTCCGATTCCGACCTTGATCTAGACATTCAGGAGCTCGACCCAATATCAACTACTCCAGCTCCAAGGGACAACGTGCGCCCTTCAACCGAGCCACAGACGTCGCGGATAGCACTGCGAAACTTGCGCATGGGTGGAGCGCGGCGAGCTGGAAAGAGGAATCGCGGGTATGGCGACCTCGGCCAGGACAGAGACGGAAACGATGAGCATTCTCAGGCATTGTTAGGGGAACACAACAGCAGTGCATCTCGATGGTCGGAAGGAAGCGGCTACAATGAGGACGATCAACCGCTGCTAGGGGGCCAGCCTTCGCAAAGCCGGAAGTCCATGAACTCGGATCGAGTATCTTCACGGTTACGACTCCCTAGTTTCATGTCGGGCTCAAAGAAACCAGAACCGAGCGATGCGGAAGATCAAGAAGACGACGACCCATCCTCCTCTCGACATGTGGCCGTGGGATCGACTCAACCTGTGCGATTTCCAAACAACATCATCTCAAATGCCAAGTACACAGCCTTGACATTCCTCCCCATCACCCTCTATAACGAATTCTCATTCTTCTTCAACATGTACTTTCTTCTCGTGGCACTGTCGCAGGCGATACCCGCCCTGAGAATTGGTTACTTGTTAACTTACATCGCACCATTGGCGTTTGTGCTCTGTATTACCATGGGAAAGGAGGCATTCGATGATATTGCCAGACGGCGAAGAGACACTGAAGCGAATTCAGAAGAGTACAACATCCTGATTTTTCAGGATGCCGACTCCAATCTAGCCCCTGTACGCCAACGAAAACTGCTCAAGTCTGAAGTATTACAGAAACACTCCAGGAAGAAGTCAAAGGGGGCTCGAGAGAATTTGTCAGACATTTTGGAGGAAGACGACGTCGAGGGACCCCCTCCATCTTCACGAGTTGTCGAAGTCAGCCGCAAGTCAAAAGACTTGAAAGTTGGTGATGTTCTCAAGCTTACAAAGGGTCAACGTGTACCTGCAGATGTTGTCATATTAAAATGCTTCACTTCCGAGGCACCAGCCCCTGCACCGATCCCCGAGGAACCAGCAGAGGAGGATACCTTGTTGGCGTTTGACGGCGAAGAGACTCAAGCAAAGGGCAAACAACCCGCAGAAGCGGCACCAGAGCAAGAGGCTGAAAGCGGACCAGGAGGGGAGACTTTCATCAGGACCGACCAGTTGGATGGTGAGACGGATTGGAAGCTCAGACTTGCTTCACCGCTCACACAAAATCTACCAACGGAAGAGTTTGTTCGTCTGCGCATCACTGGTGGAAAACCAGACAGGAAGGTAAACGAATTTCTGGGCACAATCGAGCTGGTGGAATCTCGAAAGGATGCATTGGCGCACCATGCGACAGTACAAGACTCTGACGCTTCCCGCACGGCTGCTCTGTCAATAGATAACACAGCATGGGCCAATACTGTCATCGCCTCACAAGCCACGACACTAGCCGTCATCATGTACACCGGTCCTCAGACACGGTCTGCTCTATCGACAGCTCCCTCCCGTTCCAAGACCGGCCTGCTCGAATACGAGATCAACTCTTTAACTAAGATCCTCTGCGCGTTAACATTGGCTCTTTCTATCATCCTTGTCGCACTCGAGGGTTTCGGAAACACCAAGGACAATGTGTGGTACGTCAAGATCATGCGATTTTTGGTTTTGTTCTCTACTATTGTCCCCATCAGTCTGCGTGTGAACTTGGACATGGGCAAGAGCGCGTATTCCTGGTTTATACAACGCGATCCTGGCATGCCTGGAGCAGTTGTTCGAACAAGTACTATACCTGAAGATCTCGGCCGAATCGAATACCTGCTCAGCGACAAAACTGGCACATTAACCCAAAATGAGATGGAAATGAAGAAGATTCACGTTGGCACCGTGTCTTATGCCAACGAGGCAATGGACGAAGTGTCAACGTATGTTAAACAAGGCTTCTACATCCCGCCATCCGCAGACGTTGCTGCCCAGAACATGCTTATCACCCCGTCATCTACATACTCTAGCACCACAACTATGGGCACGACGCGTACAAGACGAGAGATTGGCACGCGAGTTCGAGATGTAGTTCTAGCACTCGCCCTTTGCCATAATGTTACACCTACTGTTGACATTGAGGATGGCAAAGAGGTGACTGGGTATCAGGCATCGTCTCCTGACGAAATCGCCATTGTCAAGTGGACAGAATCAGTCGGGCTGAGACTTGTGTACCGAGATCGCAAGAGTATGGTATTGGAATACACAAACAGTAAGAGACCGGTGGTTCGCGTCCGAATCCTTGACGTGTTCCCTTTTACTTCCGAGGGCAAGCGAATGGGTATCATCGTTCACTTCCACGAAGACGTCAAGGTGAAGAACCCGAGTCTCTCTACTGGCGAAATCTGGTTCTTTCAGAAGGGTGCTGATACGGTCATGAGCTCCATTGTCGCAGCGAACGATTGGCTCGACGAGGAGACCGCCAATATGGCGCGTGAAGGTTTACGTACGCTGGTCGTTGGTCGCAAGAAGCTCTCATACGATCAGTACAAGGAGTTCTCGGCTCGCTATCAAGAAGCCTCACTTTCGATCAGTGGGCGCGATGCTGGCATGCAGCGGGTAGTCTCGCACTACCTGGAACATGACTTGGAACTAATTGGCGTGACTGGTGTCGAGGATAAGCTGCAGAAGGACGTAAAACCGTCTCTAGAGCTCCTCCGCAATGCTGGCATCAAGATTTGGATGTTGACTGGTGACAAGGTTGAGACTGCCAGATGTGTTGCTGTCAGCTCCAAACTGGTGGCTCGCGGCCAGTACATCTATACAGTTTCCAAGCTCAAGAAGAAGGATAACGCCCAAGAACATCTTGACTTTCTCCGCAGCAAGACAGACGCTTGTCTCCTGGTAGATGGCGAAAGCCTGGCTCTCTTTCTCACACACTTCCGTCTTGAGTTTATCTCCATCGCCGTCCAGCTGCCCACTGTTGTTGCTTGTCGTTGTTCACCAAACCAAAAAGCTGAAGTTGCCAAACTCATCCGCGAGTACACTAAAAAGCGCGTATGCTGTATTGGCGATGGTGGCAACGATGTCTCAATGATCCAAGCTGCTGATGTTGGTGTTGGCATTGTTGGCAAGGAAGGTCGACAGGCTAGTTTGGCAGCAGACTTTTCTATTGAGCAGTTCTGTCATCTGGTCAAACTATTGGTCTGGCATGGTCGTAACAGCTACAAGCGAAGTGCTAAGCTCGCGCAGTTTGTTATCCACCGCGGGTTGATCATTGCTGTGTGTCAGACTATGTATAGTATTGCTATCAAGTTTGAGCCTGAGGGTCTATACAAGGTAAGCTGAGGACTTAATTTCTCCGTTCTTGACAACTAACGATTGCAGGACTGGCTACTTGTCGGCTATGCTACTGTATATACTGCAGCTCCTGTGCTGTCACTTGTGTTGGACAAGGATGTGGACGAGAACCTTGCCAACCTCTACCCCGAGCTCTACAAGGAACTCACTTCTGGACGATCTCTGTCGTACAGAACTTTCTTCGTTTGGGTCTTTGTATCCATCTACCAAGGCGGCATGATTCAGGGCCTGTCACAGATCCTGACTGAAGTCGACGGGCCCAAGATGGTTGCTGTCAGTTATACCGTTCTAGTGCTCAACGAACTTCTCATGGTGGCCATTGAGATCACTACATGGCATCCCATCATGATTATCAGTATCATCGGCACTTTCGTCTTGTATATTGGCTCTATACCTTTCTTGGGCGGATACTTTGACCTTCAGTTCTTGATAACATGGTAAGTCGCCCTTCATTTGTTGAGTCATATCTACTAACATCTGCTCAGGGGATTCGTCTGGCGTGTATTAGCCATCGGTGCTGTTTCACTTATACCGCCATACGCGGGCAAGTTGATTAGGAGGACAATGAAGCCTCCGTCGTATAGGAAGGTTCAGAGCCACTAGAGGAACATGTCATGGGTTTGGAGTTTAGTGTTGGCGTTTGGTTATCACGTAGAAGGCACCATTGTTACATAGTATGACATGTTTTATTTGTACCCAATAGATGATGTCTGCGCCTCTTTATGAGTGCTTCAAATTATAATACATTATATGAGACCATAATTATAGTGATCTTACATCTTGAGGACCAGCCAATCCCTTGCCAGGTGAGGGTTTTGTTTTTGCAGATAGCCAGCTATACCAGATATCGGACCTTGAGTCTGCTGACCACCTAACCATATCTTGGGCCCGGCGTAGTACTCAATGAAACCGTCGGGGCCGGAGACGATAAACAAGTTTTTCCCGGGGGCAGTGCCTTCAGAAGGCTTGCACACACAGCCAGGTCCTTCAGCGAAGGCGAATTCGGAGGCGTGAACATGCATTGCTTGATCGTGGAACCGACAGCCTGCATTAAATGAAGCAATGGTTCCTGGCGATGCTGCAATTGCATTGCTAATATCCCTATCTTGGAAGCGAGTTCCCTCCTCGTCAACAACGACCTGTATCCTGAGACGATCACCATAGGTCATCTTGAGGTCTTGCAGGCGCTTTGTGACGGGGCTAGGGCTATCGAGCTCAGTGCCTAATGGAGTGGGCTTCTTTTCTTGCCAAAACTTCCATGATGATTGCTGGGGAGGAGCACTCCTTTGGACCTCTTCTCTCTTCCTTACAGCCCATAGAAGGTCAACGCTTGACTCTTCGTTCGCTTCCAAGACAGCCTTCGCTGCTTGTATACCAGGCACTACACCTGTACCGCCGGCAAGGAAGACAAGGCGAGAGTGCTCACCCAATCGCTCCGCTAGTTCAAAGCCAACGTGTGGACCACGTAGAAAAACATCGTCCCCAACCTGTCTTCGGCCTAGATAGTTGGACATTTCACCATCGCCAACAGTCCGGATATAGAACCGGAGTGAGCCATCTGTATGATCCTCTGTAGATAGTGGAGGCAAAGGCGTATAATGTCGAGAAATTTGTACCTCGGGTTGCTTGAACTCCACAGACCAAAGAGGATACCTCCAGTGGCTATCTGAAGGGTCCAGATATGGTAGAGAAGGGTTTGGTGTGCGTGGGACTGCGGTGATGACGAACGAGGTTGGTGAGATGGCCTCCCGAGCTGTGATGCCGTAGGGAACAAAGGTTATCTCGTTGAGAGTGTTGGGTCGAGACGGCGGCGTGAGAAGATAATAGCCGCCACTGACAAGAATTATTCCAGCCACTATTAAAGAGGGGAATATTCGTGATTGAAAAGGTGTAGAAAAGTCTGGTTTCTGAGAAGTGTGTTGCCGAGGTAGTGATGAGGTTGAGAGGCTCCGTGATGAGATTCTTGGAGGCTGTGCCTTGGCTATTGGCAAGCCGCTCTGTAATTGACCACATTTTGTGAGAACCCGTCGGTTCTGGGTGACAGATCGCGATGAACTTGTGAATACCCTCCTTGTGGCTCTCATCATGTTGGTTGGTGATGAGTGCATCAGTTTTGATCTCATAGTTTCTCAGTCGTCTTATTGAGCTTTCATATCTGGAATGTAATCACCTGAATTCAAAACATACTAAATAAGGCGGATGTGCTCAGATGTTTGACTTGGTCTTCGCGGTCCCCTGCTTTCCAGTATCTTTAGGAGTTCCTTGAGCTCATGGTCACCAAAAATTGAAGCTGGAATTACTAGAGCAAGGGTCACGTGAATCACTTGAATCGCCTCAACATGTACACAAGGCGGTCTGGCATGATTGAATACTATTCGTGAATACGTAGCGCGTGGTAATGATTGATAAATTGTGTATTTGTATATTTCTATTGAAGAGCTTTTGTTCATGCGTCTCGAAATCGGGGTATCTAACCATCTCTTAATACAGATATCTTACATCCTCAACATCTTATGCTCAGCATCAATGCCTCCTCTAAACATATCCGCAACGACATTTCCCTTTAGAATAGTCTCTTTGACAATACCCTCCACATTCTTTGGATCAACTCTTCCATACCAAATCCCGCATCCAGCCAAAGGATGAGGTGCATCGCCCATTTTCAGGTCTGGAGGCAGATAAATGATGACGTTGCCAGCAAACTTGTGACCTCCAATATGACTGATCAAACCAACTCTAGCTGTAGTCTTGCCTTCGCCGGTCTCTCCCTGTATTCTTTGTTTGTCGCCGAGATTGACTTGCACGGGTCCATGCAAGACGTCAAAACCCTCCATCTCCAACTTGTCCTCAAACTCAGTTTGCAGAACCGGCGCCATGATACCGCATCTGGCATCACGTCCTGTATGGCCACATATCAAGACCAAAACATCGCGAACATCTTGAACGCCTGGTAATAGTCCCTGATACCCTTCTTTGCGGGTCAAGCGATCCCGGTGTATAGGTGAAAGACCTTCATGTGCAGGGTGAAGCTTCTTTGGGAGCAAAAACCCCTTAGCCAGTGCTTCTACACTATCGAATGATACCCGTGGCAGAAAAGGAACGTATTTGAAGCTTGGAACCAAATACACGGACGTGGTTTGAACTTCAGGACGTGGTGAAACAGAGCTCGGAAACGACGAATTGAGAACAGAAACATTATGAAAAGGCTATATTATATTGATCAGTAAGATAATCCGTGTACAATAAGGGAGCACCAACGTCGCTATAAGTCCCTCCACGTCCAAATAGCTCTTTCAAATCCGCAGCGAGACAATCGCCGCCATTATCATCCTCTATCCTCGATGGCCAATCTGCATTTCCTGTACACACTAGGACATGCTCTGCATACCCAGCAATTGCGCCTTTGAGAGGCCCCTCACGGTCCAGAGGCAGATCCTCTGGCATAGTAGGAGTAGCCGCGCATCCGCATATCGGCTTCGGACATGTTGCGACGGTCTGAAAGGGCGGAGGAGGCGGAGGTCGAGTTTGCCGCGTCTGTTGAGCAAAAGTTCGCCTCGACGTTGATGATAAGCTGAAGAGACAGCGTCTCGTCAAGTTTATTGACGGCCGGAGAGACATGATAGAATGTGGGATATTATGGTCGTGGCTTTTGAACGAGACCTCGCTTTTATTCCTGTGACACCTTCAATAACCCGAATATCACGGCCCGGTGTTTTGCGATAGCCATACATCATCATTTTCGCCTCGGTCTCCGAGATTCATATACATAGAATCCCCCACTTTCCGGTCCAGCCGGTCCCCCACGTGTCGAAGCCGAATCATTAGTAGACAATTGCTAATACCAGCGGAATCACGAATTAACGACTCTCAAGGAATATAGTTGAATATGCTGTCTTACGCGATGTATAATGAAACTCGAAACCAACCGGCCAAAACCTCCAACTCCCATCACCCGTTTCCAAATGCTACATACAATCTATCCAATAACGTAACACCACAATGCAAGCTACAATATGCAATGGATCCTCAACTAACACACGGGTATAGCAAGCCTTGCGGCCGTCACACTTCTCAAACTCATGCTCACACACCTATACACCAACTATACGTGAGTCAAAGGCTCAGAAGCCAACCATTGTTCCCTTCTTGTCACAGTATCCTGGATGCTTAGGTTCCGCAGTGGCCCAACTCATCGCAGTAAGTGTAGTAGCGTACGCCATTGCGATGAATCCAAAGATGCAGAGTAGGATGTCGGCCAACTTCCAAAACTTCGTGCGGGCAATTGCCTTATAATGAAGCATAGGCTAGAGGAAAGTTAGTATTGCACATTAAATCTCTCGACATTATGGAACTTACAGGATAGATAAAGACAAGTGGAATGCAGGCGAAGTTACCAACGAGAGCAACAAACTTGTCCAGATGGTCTGCACCGAGCCAAGCGATGGCCGCGCAAAGCATCACCACGAAGAAACGGAACACATTCTTCTGCCACTTGACCCAGGGATTATACTTGCCACTGCGAGTGAAAAGCTCTGTTTCAGCGATACGTATGGCAGGGAAGATCTGCAATGGTGTAGACAGCAGAATGGCAACAGAGTACAAGAACTGAACTCCGTTGACCATCTTGTTATCCTGAGGCAAGTTGAGCAACACAACAGTCTCGGTGTGAGAACCGTAGGCAGCATAAGAGATGGCACCCATGCCGATGAAGAGGACTGTGATGATAATCATAACGATGAGAAGAACCCGAGGAAACTTTTGAGGGTGTCTCATCGACTCCTGAACGGGAATGATGAGACCAATGCCCTCGAAGGTGAAAATCGCAGTTCCGATGAACAAGGTCCAGTCCTTCTTGTTGAACATGATGATATCGGAGATACCGTTGGCGTTGAGAGTCAGAATATCGTAGTACAGGAGGTAAGCCAGGCCAATCAAGATAAAGGCATCTGCGACCAGAGCAGTAAATGCTAGCTTTCCAATATCTCGCAGAAGAGCAAACGGCAGGAAGATGAGCATCTGGATAAGAATGAGCCACTGGATGCTGATCGAGGACTTGCAGTCGGACACAGCCCTGACGAAGGCCTGCAAGTTGGCGGCAGTGAATACGGTGTAAGCGGCAACGAAACCAATCTGGCTGATGACAATAGAAGCTAAAATAAGGGTGCGCATATGCTTTCCGTAAAGTGCACCACCCAAGTCACCAAAAGAGCCTCCAACCTTGAGCTGTGTCTGTACGAGGAGTACAAAGCAGTAATAGCTCAGAGCGGCAACGCCAAAGAGAATCAGGTTGCTGAAGAGCATACCTCCGTTGAGATAGGCTCGAGGAAGGAAGAGGACACCGGTACCGACAAAGGACTTAAGAAGCAGCAAGGCCGCATTCATGGGGCTATTATTTCCAGTGCCACCGCGGACCTTGCGCTTGCGTCTGCGTCTTGAAGGCGTCAACAAGGCGCTGTCCTCCATAGGCTCCCGCTCGTCGTCAGAGTTGTACTCGTCTGTGTCTTCTCCGGATGAGAAGTACTCGTTCGGTCCCAAATCTTCGTCATCCTCCTCCAGTTCCTCACCAGCGAAGTGGCCGTAAATCGTCAAGAATTCGAGGAAGCTCGAGGTGAACAATCTCTGCTGGCCCGGCGCAGGAGAGGCGTGGCCGTCCTCGGGATGACCATGAGGTCCAGGGCTTTGGACGCTACGACGGAGATGGTTTCTTCGGAAGCCACCAGGCACCTTTATCGAGTTGATGTCAAGTACTTCGGCCTCGGGTTCAGGCCGTCCCAAATCGAAACTCTTGCTGCGATTGTACTTTGCTCTCGCTTCTGCCTGTTCGGTCCACTTGTAGATACCTCGAGTCACATCACCTCCCTGCAACTTCAGGCTGGAGAACTCGTCCTCGCCCAGTCCGGCACCGCCAATTTCGGCTGGCTGCTTGCCCTTCGAATTACCTTGGATCGATGACTCTTCTGAGCCTGGATTCTCATCCGAGGGTTGGACTAGATGACGCTTGACAATCTCAGGATCCTCATAGGGTGCACTAGTGCCCAGCGCATTTTGTGACCGTGAATTGAAAGAGCCATAGTTGGTCGGCGTCCCCGAATTTCGACCGCCGAGCAGAGGAGACTGTGAGCGAATCGGAGGAGTAGCAACGCGAGCTGCGGGAGTGCCATGTCGCGGAGGAGACTGGCCTAGAGAGTTGGAGAGTGCAGCAGCGAGAGCAGATACACCGGGGCCTTGGGCGCTAGTCCCGCTTCCAGGCAACTGGGACAAATCCTCGAGATTCTCGGCACGTGGGGCTGCATCGGGCCGTGGCGAGCCTCCTCTGGGAGGTGTAGTTCCAAGTAGTTGTGACGGGATGGGAGAAGCAAGACGCGCTGTCAAATCAGCTCGAGGGACCGAAGCGGAAATCGATCGAGGTCGGAAGCTCGAGGGCGAAGCAGACCTAGGAGGCTGTTCAGATGGGATTCTCGAAGGAGAAGCCATTTTTCAGTCCGATTGAAGGTGTGAGAAGCCTTATCGCATAGTCTGAGCGGTGTTGACAGCAGTTTTGAGTCGCGAACAGCGGTAATGACGCAGCAGGCAGATGGATTGACTGGCGGGATGCCCAGCAACACTGATAAGACAGTCGAGGAACTAAGGAAGTCAACAAAAAGAATGACGACAAAGAATGATGACCAAAAGAGTCTCGGGAACAAAGGTTATATGAAGATGTCACGCTTGGTCGGGTGACAGAGTCAATTGAGAGGGAACAGAATTTGTTGTTGGAACGAAGAGAAAGCGTGAGATAAGGGCTTAGCCAAGCCGCAGCATACAGGCTAAGGCTACAGGCTCCAAGCTGCCTATGCCCAGGCTGGTAGTTGCCCTGAACGGTGAAGCTCAGACGCAGGGAAGCCCAGTCTCTGGGGTCTGGTGACCTACTGAGTTAAGGGCAGCTGCCGAGCCAAGCTAGGCTAATAGTGGAGGTAATGGTTGTAGACTCCACGCGTTGAAAAGGTAAATACTTTGCAATAATAATAGCTACAACTAACTGTACGGATATGGAGAGGTGCTTCGTCTATCGTTTGTATCAACGTACAAATAATATGATAAAGTGTTTGTACAAAGAGTCAGCTTATATAAGCTGTGATAAGTGTCCATCCACTCATCCCGAGTCCGAATTGGACATCATATCATGACTTCCACGTTCTGCCGACGAGTCGGTATTCTAGGTATGGATTCAACCAGAGCCAGCGGATATCGGCAAGTAAAATGCTTTGAAAGGGAATACAACCGTTTGCCTGCAACCTTATCTCTAGGGTTGCACTGTACCTACCAAATTGGGGGTCGTATTAATGACCGAGTCAAATACCATGGGATGTTGATGAGTAACGTTTCAGAAGGATTTGTTTACGAGTGTTGATCTCGTCTTATCCGCATACATATGTATGTTTTATCGCGGCAAAACGTGCCTATCATGATCACCAATCTCGGTACTGCTAGGTAGTTGTCCTCTGCTCGGAGTATCTACAGTGAAGCCACGTCTCTGACAACACTGAACCAAACCTAACCTCAAACTATATCAACCCTATTACATACACGATTCTGTTGAATCTTGGTTTGGCTGTGCGGCCCCACAGCAATAGTCGATGTGCATTACCCGTCACTTGGTGCGATGAAGCGGGCACGTTTATGCTGTCACGCTCAGTGGGGGTCACGACCCTTAAAAGAGTCGAGTCAGATGAATGAGGCGCATGTCGACATGTGAATAGATATTTCTATATATCTCATATCGGACATCTCGATCTGTGGTCTTGGTTTTTATGTGGTTTACTAGCATCAGGTCAACATACCTAGGTAGCATTCAACCCTCGGCAACAAAAGCACCGACAGAAGCTTGTATTTCGGGGTGGATTTCCTCTGCATGGCCTACGTCATTTGGTAGCACCTACAGCGCCTATCGCGATACGAAGCTGCACCTTGTGGTTCATTATGAGCTCCAGCATAGGTAGGTAGGTACCTTAGGTAAATAAGCCACGCCGGCTTCCGGGAGCGAGTAATTTTGCGACCTTGACTCTAGGTAAACGTCAAAAAGACTTGAGTGAGTTATCATAAGCCTAAGAAGAGTTTTTGAAAGGTTTATCTTGTTACTTAGGATCAAAGTCTCAAGTTTTCTTGCCTCCCATGCCAGCTCTTGCACATGATCCGACTTCCCCACAGACAGAGCCATAAAGACGACTATCCTGGTGATACCAGTCCATATCTTGCCCGAGCTCCAGAGAGATAGGTACCTAGCTCTGAGCAACACTACTGGATTTTACTGGCCTCTAACCGCTGAGATGCAGGCTATAGTGGGGAATGCCCAGCACCCGTGGACCCTTGAAACCACCTCAAACACCGACATTAGGAGCACCATAGTCCCCTGCTGACCCGTCTAGTTCCCCAAAACCTCCATACCTTTCCTGCCCTGCTGTAACTTCGATGGAGGCCCAAGAATGCCCTCCCTTGAGGCTATTGTGACGTCCTTGATTGGTGATGATCTCCAGACCAACATGGACGCTTTTGCCCGGATTGCCGAATAAATGCCCTTGTACTATCCACTCACAACCACACTAACCACACCCAATATGCAACACGCGGGAGGCTTCAGCTTGGAATTCTCTTGGCAAGCATAGGATTGACGACCGATTACCCAATTGCTAAGTGAGTGGTCCTTGAGCAATAGAATACACCATAACATCATTATTTATCAGGCCTCTCCCCTCTTTCAAAAGCCTCATTCCTCTGTGCTTTGTTCCACCGCGGTTCTTCACCGTCTCATACTTGCTCATGTGGACCGGGCCAGTGCTCGCTAATCCATCCTGACCCCTCGTCTGGCTCACGACTCACTCCCCAGACTTCATCATGACAACACCTCAACAGTCAGATACCAAGGGAGTTGACAATGGGGGAGAACGACAACGAAATAGTATAGCCGAGTCCCTAGGCGGACGAGGATCGGTATCAGTCACCATGGAGCCACGGCACAACAAGTTGGGCAGCATCTCGGGTGTCTACATCCCTGTTTTTCTCAATATCATGAGTATTCTCATGTTTTTACGATTCGGTCAAATCATTGGGAAAATCGGCTTCGCGGGCATCCTCGGTAAGCTTTTCTCGCATATGCGGCCTTTCACAAATCTTAACAAAGGCTCCAGGACTTCTAGTTACAGCTTACTCCATTGACTTATTGACGACGCTTTCTCTATCGGCCATCGCATCCAATGGAGAAGTCAAGGGCGGTGGTGCATACTACCTTATCTCGCGGTCTCTGGGACCTGAGTTTGGTGGTTCCATTGGAATCCTCTTCTATCTTGCTCAAGTTCTCAATGCAAGCATGAACGTTGTTGGTCTTATTGACTGTGTTAGACTGAATCTCGGCGCGGCTTTCCCCTCAGGTTACTGGACTGGCTATGGCCTCCAAACAGCTGCCCTGTTGCTTTGTACTGGTCTTTGTTTCCTAGGATCTGCAACTTTTTCGAGGGCCTCCAATGCTCTGCTTGCCATCCTCAGCTTGGCCATTGTCAGCATCCCGGTCTCTGCTGTCTTCAAGGCTCCCTTCCATGATAGGGATCTCGGGATTCATTTCACCGGACCTAGTCTTGATACCCTGACCGACAACTTTCTTCCTCACAGCGGCCCTCAGTTCAAAGGCCTCGAAACGTTTCGTGATCTGTTTGGCATTCTATTTCCGTACGACCCTAATGCCAACCGGTGTGTGTATGACGAGCTTGTACTGACAACAAGACAGTGCTACCTCAGGAATCTTCGCGGGTGCATCCATGTCTGGAGACCTCAAAGACCCAAGCAGATCGATTCCTCATGGAACGCTCTGGGCAATGTTGACAACCTTCATCATTTACTTTGTCGTAATCCTTTCACTGGCTGCGAGTACAACTCACACATCTTTCCTGGCCAACGACAACGTTATCCCTCTCGTCAACCTCTCCCAACCTGTCATCCTCGCTGGTGAATGTGCAGTCACCTTCTTCTCCGCTCTTATGGGCCTGATCGGTGCCTCCAAGCTGTTCCAAGCTTTTGCAAGGGATAAGCTTCTTCCAGGCCTCGGCTTCTTCAGCAAGGGCACAAAACATGGTGACGAACCTATTTACGCTTTGCTCCTGACTTATGTCATTGCACAATTGGCGCTCTTCGCCGATCTCAATCAGATCGCTACCTTTATCTCTATGGGATATCAGATGACTTTCTTTGTCATGAATTTAGCTTGCTTCCTTCTCAAAGTCGGATCAGCCCCTAACTTCAGGCCAAGCTTCAAGTTCTTCACCTGGCAAACTGCTTTCCTTGCCGGCATCTTGTCAGGCTTTGCTATGTTCTTCATCGATGAGACCTATGCTGCTATTGCTATCACAGTACTTGTGTTGCTATTCCTCCTCATTCATTACCTCAGCCCTCCTAAGCACTGGGGCGATGTCAGCCAGAACTTGATCTATCATCAAGTAAGGAAGTATTTGCTACGTTTGAGACCAGAACACATCAAATTCTGGAGACCGCATATCATTTTACTTATCAACAACCCTCGCAGGCAGACCAGGTTGATCCAATTTTGTAACTCACTCAAAAAGGGGTCGCTTTACATTCTTGGCCATGTCATCGTGACCGACGACTTCAACTCAGGGGTTCATGAAGCTCGGCTTCAACAGCATGCCTGGACAAAATACATCAATGAGTTCTCCAAGATCAAGGCTTTTGTGCAGCTAACAATGTCGCCCACCATCACTTGGGGTATCCGCAATCTGATACTATCAGCTGGCCTCGGTGGAATGCGTCCCAACATTGCTGTGCTTGGGTTTTACAACATGGAGGAACTGCGGAAATCAAACCCGAAGCTACGCGTACCTGATGTTCCCGTATCTTTGTCCAGTCAAATGCGACGGCCCGCTAAGTCAAATGGCAAGGCCCCCGAAAGGCCTCGGAGACGAAGGGGTGACACGTCAGCAAGGCTCATGGAGGGCATCCTACCAACAGATGTTATTCGTACCGAGAATATGATGTCTCCAAAAGAGTATCTGACTATATTAGAGGACCTTGCGTTGCGATATCGACTCAACATTGCAGTGGGGTGTGGCTTTGAATCGCTCGAGACGCCAAGAAAGGACGGAAACAACACCAAAAAGTACATCGACCTATGGCCTATCCAGATGTCGGCCGAGGTTACTTCTGACGGAAAGAGTTTGCTGACCACCAACTTTGATACATGTAAGATCAATCTCTTGTGAAGATGACACAAGCTAACATTAGTAGACACCCTCATTTTGCAGCTGGGGCATATTCTTCACAGTGTGCAACTCTGGAAGCATGTTTATACGCTTCGGGTCATGGTGTTTGTGGAATACGAGAGTGAGGTCAACGAAGAGCATGCTCGGGTTCTGGCACTTCTTGAGAAATTAAGAATTGACGCAGAGGTCAAAGTATTTTGCTTGGCATCAGGCAGCCTAAATACTTACGATCTCATCGTCAATGGGATAGGTAGCGACATCGATTGGGAGATCGTTGTCAACGATGCACTCCGCAACGAAGAGTGGTGGGATGATGTGCAGATGTTCCGAGGCCGATCAGACAACATGACTTCTACCCAGGAGCTGGATCAGCTGGAGCACATATATGATACGATATCTGGGAGGCCTGGTTTGTATAACCCTCATGAGGAAATATACGATCGTCGACGTGCTAGCACGACGGATGTTCCCGAATTACCAAGACGGCCGGCTATTCGGATGCTTTCAAAGATGGGGGTTAGTATGGGAATTCACACACACCATCTCCCCGATGGCGCATTAGATGAAACGGATAACGAGGATGACGAGGCAGAAGACTCGCAAGCAGAACTTCTTGATGACGAAGAAATGGGGTACAGTTCTATACTAGACCGTGAGTCGATTGACGAAACAAACATCGGCCCGAGTGATGCAGCTCGCCAGCCATTGTTGGCGGGTGGGGATTCTCATGATGAGGATGGCAGAGTGCGTGGTGACTTCTGGGAAAGCTTTGGCCGAAGGTCCAAGTCGGACACAGTTGGCGATGCGGTCGGGACAAGTACGTCGTACGGTACAATGTCATCGTCTGCGACAGTAAAGGGAGTTGGCGCTGGCGTTGGTGGAGTCCAGACATCACAGTCGGCATCAGCATCAGCCTCTCAAGTGGTACCAGAATCATCAGCAACACAGACGAGCCAACGACCACTTGGAGGCAGCACAGACTCTGCCCCGGAAGAGTTTCCCCCTCTTGTCTCGCGAGACTCGCTAGGACCCTCGGCAGCCTTCAGTCGTGTACGCCCCCCAAGCCCTACGCGAGAAGACACTGCGCGCCCGTATCGCAGCGGTGCGTCAACACCAGGAAGACCAAATCTTTCCAGGCAGTCCTCGGCCGTGAAGTTCTCTAGCCGCCCGGTCCCGGAAACAAAGATCGTGGCCTCGGAAGCAGAGGGGTCCACGATAAGCTTTGCGCCGCCCTCTAGCACCGAATCTGAGACTCCCAAGGCCGGACCGTATCGACCGAGCTATTCGCGGCAATCGTCGCTGGGAAAGTTCCCGAACAGATCCCGGTCTAGCGGTCAATTGTTGGCCGGCGAGGAGAGCAGAAAAGTCAGTTTCGCGGAACAGTCTGACTGCGAGCCATACTCAACGCATCATTCTCGATTCCATTCGCGGCGGAATTCTCGAGGATCTACACAAGGAGGGGGCGAATCCTATGACCAAATTCCAGAAATGCTTGAAAGATACAGATTAAGTTCACATCTAGAGGAGGAAGGTCAAAATTCGGGTTACACGCCGCAGGGATTGGAGCTCTCTTTCAACGAGCTTCCAAGCAGAGCACAGCATCTCATTGTGAACGAATTGATGCGTCAGCATTCCAAGGAGACAGCTGTTCTTCTCAGCACGCTGCCAATTCCTTCGGAGGGCACTTGCTTGGATGAAGCTTCTACTATACAGTATCTGTCTGATGTCGAAGTTCTGTGCAATGAGCTGCCACCAACGCTGTTGGTTCTGAGCAACAATATGACAGTGACTGTCAACCTATAGTCGATCGCTTAATCAAACAAACAATCAATGAATTACAAAGCCGCAATATTTCCATGATTGACAGCTAGCATGGATGACCCATGTAGAGGGCCTAATTGAGGCTACTGAGGGACATACAGGTAGTTACCTACCACACTTGGTTGACGACATGGACGGTCTCTAAAAGATGGCGTAAGCCGAGTCATGACCAACAAAGGACGGCAATGATTACTAGCCAGGAACAGCCTTGCAAAGACCATGTCAGGCACAGGAACCGAGGAACGGGACAAGATAGTGGGAGCTAACAGCTGAGCCATTCGGTCGATATAGTTTTTGTGAATTCTTGCACGAGGTTTTGGATTTCAGGGGCAAGATTCACTGGAATGGTCTCTGAGGTTCTGAATATATCGGGTAGTGAGTGGATAGGACAAGGTAGACTGATAGTTAGGCGGGTTTTTGGTGGCTTACAGCCATGAATCATGGGCCATGTGGCTCTACCTATGTCATGTCATGTCACCTCCCAGTCTTAGTCTTAGTCTCTGTCAGTCGTCACTGAGAAAGAATCATGAGAGCGTAATTAATTTATTTTATTGTCAGCTTTCATTGTGTGCTTGTGTCTTTATGCTCGGGCTCTCTTGCGGCCTATCTCTTGAGGAATGGTTGGTGATCTTAATTGGTGTTACCCAAACTGCATTGCATTCTTTGGAGACAAACTCTCTCTTCTTTGTACCTTTCCCGTCCCTGTGCCGTGTGCTTGACACCACCTCTGACGCCTTAAAGTGTCCTATTTAGTTACTGCAGAAGCCAAAAGGTTGAGTTGCCCCCGCACAATGACACTACCTACCTGTTGTCATCGGGACCTCCGAGCCGCCTTAGTTGGCAAGAGGCGCATACTAGAGGTGACTAGGCCATCTAGCTAACAAGGTTTGAATTTCTCTTTACCACGATAAACTCTGTTAGTCCATCTTCCAAGCTCAGTTCAGTTCAGTTCCGCTCTGTACCCCAGAGCTCTTTACCCACTGAAGATATCCTCCGAGGGGGGGCTTGTCTTGTAAGACCCAAGACCCCTCCCGTCCATCACTCATCTACATTCCAGTCAAACAGCCTGACACCACTCAGCTCTGTCAAAAAAAAGGGGATCCCAGAGACATTTCCTTATAACGGAGGCTGGGGCTGGGATTACCATTCTGCTAAAATCAGGTTTTCTGGGAAATTCTCTTTCCTGGCCTGTGAGACATTGTGCTCCGAGTCAGGCTACTCTACTCTTCTTCACCAAGCCAACCTCTTCACGATGCCTTCTTGGACTTCCAACAACGATGATAAGATGAGCAGCTGGCGGGACCAGCTCTCGCCCCGAAACCTGAGTTTCCGGGGCTTTAGAAGAGCTTCCGAGTCTGTGGCAAAAACAACCTCTTCAACCAGTAAAGATTTCGCCATGTTGCACTATCCGGACCGGCCTGCGAGGAGGATCACTGAGGCCGATATTCCCAGCGACGAAGAGTGTAAAAAGTCTCTTATCAACATGAGAAAGGCTTCTTTCGTGGAGCAAATACATCGGCGGCATGAAATTCAGCATCAGAAGCAGTTATCTCCTGTACCAGAACCGGCGCAAGAAGAGCTTTCAGCATTGAGACCGCCTCAACATGAGCAGCCTCGTATAGTACAGTCACAACCGCAGCCACCACCAGAACAACCTCGGACATTTCAACCACAGATTGAGCAGCCTCGAATGATACAGGCACCAGCGGAACATCCACGACTGGAGCATCCTCGAGCACAGCAGCCGTTGCGATTGACTTTTGGGCCATTTAATGGACAGTTTCGATCTGCCTTTGGACCACTTACACCCGCGGAAGAGGAGCCATGTCCGTTGGAAAAGGTCGACACTGTTGGGTCTACAGCAACAGCAACACCAAAAGATTCACTGCCAGTCCCCGAACCTTCTGTGGGCATTCGAAAAAGCCTCTTGATTGTTGATGATTTAAATATTGCAAGAGAGCCCTCGCATTCTGCGGTCATCAGCGAAGCCAAGACCATTAAGCTCGAACGAGTAGACAACCACGCTACACCTGGCGTCTCACCAATCTCATCTCCACGACCAAGCGATGCTTCGGCTTCGGGATGGCCCAGACGAAAACAGTCAGTTCAAATGGTCGCTATTCGTCGATCATCGCAAGATTCTCAGAAGCGCAAGCAGTCTGTTCACGCGGTCGTTGTGCGACGGCCCTCCAAGCCAACGGCAGACGCCCTCAACTCTCATCCCGTTCACGCATCTTCTACACAAGTCCATGTTCGACAAGACAGTGTTTCAGACCCGATGTGTCGAGTGTGTCATGATGGAATTGCTGAGACGTCAGGGACTTGTTCAAGCTGTGAGAATGACTCCATCACAGCCACGCCGGTCGAAATCAGTCCCAACTTCTCTCGCCTTCATCACAAACCAACTGTCAAGAAGTACAACCGTCCTCCTCCTCTGATTCCCCAGTCTCTGGACGGTATCGCCAAGCTTCATCGCCCCTCCGCTTCTCTCACCTCTGATCCTGAAGCGAATTCACTATCACCGCCGGCTTCACCAACATCGCATTGCAGCAGTCCAGCTGAGACCGTCAAGACAGTGGCGACGGGTCCTTCAGTCCCTCCGACCCCAATGTCGGCCCTCTCAACGCCTGAAGTGTTCAAGCGCTTCCAGGAAGAGGTTGAATCAAGGGCCAAGGCAGATGATAGTCCCTCATTCGATGATCCATGGATGATCAAGTCCAAGACTCCCGAGGATGATGTTTACGAAGATGACTGGGCGGATTACTACTTTGATGAGCAGAATTTCAACGACGATAAAGTCACTAATGGGCCGGCGCCTGGTGCGAATTTTGTTCCGAGTCCTGTTAACCCAGGTCCTGGGTGGATATAAGCCTTAGGAGATTGCCTGTAAAGGATTGTATCATGTATGTATTCAAAATGTTGGGTAGCGGGTTTGTTTTTCTATATCCTGGTCAAATTGCGACAAGCGTTCTTTCAATTCAATCATGAGTCTATGCTTCATAACCATCTCTTTCGTCTCTTCGTGACATCTTCTTTCATCTGATCCATCTCAACTTTCGAGTCTATGTTCTAGTCTATAGAATTTTTGTAACGGTCAAATCACTTGAATCTCCACCCTCTAATTCTATCAGCCCACCAGCTTCAATTCTCTTCTTCCACTTATTGCTCTCATATCGCGCAAAAATTATCGTCATGCGTAGTGTAACATCACTGCTCGAGTCATGCTCCTGCAGTGATTCCGCAACAGGTGTGAACGTCCAGCGGCCAAATGCCCAGTTGAGGATATATCGACCGGAGGCGCTCGGCTCTGGTGGGGGAATATCGAGATCGGAGTTTGTGGGCGTTGATGACAGTGAGACAAGGGCCTTGATGCGGTAGGCTTCGTCTTTGGGGGCGGAGGAGAGGAAGGCGATGAGCTTTTCGGTCGAAACGCGTGCTGAAGGATCGGCTTTCAGAACAACTGACAACACCTCGACTTCGCTTTGGTGGTTGTGAGAATGACCGTTTGTTGTACCATTGGAGTGGTCGTGACTGTGGCCGTTGGTCTTTTCAACATCTGCCTCTGTCAACTCCTTCGCCAAACCACCATCCACGCCAAAGATCAAGTCCATCGACACTTTGCCCTTGTCGCTCTTGACCTTGGCAACGTCAACTTCCAGATCACCGACTCGGTCGAGGCATTCGTCGTATCGCAGCATGCTGACATTTTCCCACTTGTTGAAGACAATGAGATCGGTGTAGCGCGCTTGAATGCGTGCCGTGTAGCTAGTGTCCTCATAACCCTTCCAGTTCTCGACGTCAATGACGCTGATGACACCGTCGAGGATATACTTCCCGGACTCGCGCGCAAGGCGATTGACTTCGAGAGCGAGGGTCGCGGGAAAAGCCGAGCCGCTGGTTTCAATAACGATTCGATCGGGTGTGACGGTCTTTTCTAGTTCTTCGAGCGCGGGGCCGAGTTGACCGACGAGGTTACAGCAGATGCAGCCGTTGAGGAGTTCCTGAACACCCGATATGGCAGAGTTGGCGGCGAGTTGTGAGTCGACTGCGAGATCGCCGAATTCGTTCTTGAGAAGCGCAAGCTTATATTCTGGGTTCTGGGCGCGAAGTTGAGGGATCAGGTTCAGAATCAGTGTCGTCTTACCTGACCCCAAAAACCCTGTAACGATAGTGATCGGAATTGGCGCCATCGTTGCTGTACTTTCAACAGAATTGAGGTTGAAAATAGCACATGTAGAAAAAAAGGAACGGCGTCAAAGTTTTGTTCCTGATAAAATACCTCTTGATTAGCGGAACAAACAAAAGTGATAATGTTGGGTGATCATCAGCCCATCCATTCAGAACGGTCCGATAAGATAGACTTTTGAATCGTTATCGGGCCTTATCGGAACGACCCCTCCAACTGCAACTTGACGTCACTTTATAGAGGGTGACAAGCTGAAAGAATGGACTAACGTAAGGTTTCACAGGGGTGCATTGAGGATTTGCGCCATTGCGTATGCCAATGCCGGGGATAAAGATGGAAGAACAAGGAAATGGGGTAGGGATACACAATATTTACATGCATCCTTCTCTCGTCAAGATCTCAATCGGAGCATCATCCTGCAACAGGAAATTCAAGCCGCCTAAAACGAAACAAATATGGCTTCTCCAGAATCCGGCCACAACAACAACGTCCAAGACGAGAGCTTCAAGAAGCAGCTTGACAAGGCTGCGGAGAGCACCCGTGAACTGGAGAATCAGAAACCTAATCCTGTTATCGAGAAGAGTATGCTCTACGGATACCACCTCTCTACATATATCAAATTGCTGACTTGTTGCAGTCACAGAATATGTCCCAGCTGCAGCCAAGATCCTGCCTGTTCGTCAAAGCCCGCCCAAGGAGGAAGACAAGCCACCCGGACCACCAGAGCGGCCTCATCATGATGACAAAATCGAAGACTTTGTAAGGGATCAGCACAGAAGTCAGGGCGTTGATGGAATTCTGGGCGATTCTCCCAAGGATGAATGATGGGATTCTTCAAGGTTCTTAGGGATATTGGCGCAGTATAATAGGGCGTTTGCCTACAACGTAATGAATTCATGATTCACGTGTGTTGAAGTCAAGTTTGACGTGACGACGGTGCAGTGCGACTTGTGAAGGTGTCTTGGACATAGACGCTAGCATGATCGCTAGGAACACAATCCAATAACGATCTTGAGCCTCATGAACCTAATCCTCGCAACAAGGCAAAGCTCGCTTAGATATTGATCGAGACAAAGGCCCAATAGCCGCATCTCGAGCCCCAACTTTGCATAGCGACGGAAAGTTCACGATACAGAATTTTTACAGCAGACGTCTGCCAAGTCCTCATGAGCAGCACGCGTTCATGCGGTATCATACAGCCCAGTATCAGCAGCACGAATCTTACTACAAAATCCTTTTCAGGATGATGGAATGTCCCCCCTTCTTGGCATTACACCGCCTACAGACATCGTTGCGAAACAACGACCTGACGGAGAATTTCCTATATCCAAGGGTTATAATCTACTGAGCGTTTCCCGCGATGGGAAAGGCAACGCGACACCGTGAGAGGTGACCCAGAGGTCGGGTGAAGGTCGTGGCGGCTCAGAAAACATTAAAAAAATGCTTTTTGATCTAAGGAGCAAAAGTAAAAGAGATCGGGAAAAGTGCGAGCTTATATACCCCGAGATTTTCTGAGTGGGGCTGCCGGCTTGGTTAGTCAGCAGGCGTTCTGCTCCACCAAAACTTTCAACGGCGGGTGGTTGGATAAGTAGGTAGGGAAGCGCTTACCCTATATTTAAATCAACAGCAATATTGATATTCAGGACATTGATACAGTGATAGGCATTTGAACAAGCCAAAGTCGCAATTCTTACAGCTTTCTAGCTTAGATACCCTGTAAATAACCTGTGAAAAAAAACTAAAGCATTTAAATTCTATTTCTAATGTACATGATCAAGCATCGATATGCAAATCCACCTTGACCAACACCTACTCAAAGGGGACTAAAAGTACGGTTGGAAATCTGGCTGTGTTCTGCAATGGATCTTCTACGCTGGCTCAAGCAAGTTTGTTGGCGTAGAATGCATGCACATTTTGTTGAAATGGGCCATCGACAATAACTATCTCCGGCTCATCATGGACGCCATTGCGCTTGGTGGACTAACCGTCCAAGCCGCTTCCAGATACCTGCTCCCTAGCGCTGTCGAGGTAGGCGATCTGGACCTATTGAAGTTGTTTTTTAGTTTCCCTTCACGATATTTGGAAGACACTCGCAGTAGCTATTAACAATGTCGATGGCCCCATGGTTGATCTAGGTATTGTTGAAGAATGGTGCCAACACTGCCAGATCATCCTTTGATTATGAACTGCCCATAAGACAGGCATTGAAATAAAGCAATAGTGATAGAATTGTGAGAAGTCTTCTAGAAGCCGGTGCGGACATCCGTCGCATGTCGATTTCACATTCTATTATTCTTTATGCTCGAACTACGGCATCTGCAAAGCTACTGCCAGAGGCTGGAGCCCCAGTGAACTTCGCAGGCAGAATGTTGTTAACCCCTATTCAGCAAGAAGCTATCAGAAATGATCTAGATATGGTCACCTTACTGTTGGAAGCTGGGGCAGACCCGAACTTGGTTTGCGACGGTGCCAGTGACCCGTTACCACGCAATAGCTGTGTTGCAGAGAACGGTCACATTCTTGATGGTATCTCACTTGCACTAATATCACCACTAATGTTCGCAATGGGACATGAAAACTTCGATATGGCTCGTTGTCTTCTGCATGCCGGGCCTACATCTGATGGCCCCATGGCCAGTCATCCTAAAGGGGGGAAACCCTAGACTATGTCCTAATGTCCAATGGAATACCGTCCATCTATAAATGTTGAAATGGTGGAGAGTTACTAGGTCCTGGAAAGATGCGCTTCCGCAATATACTAGACAGGTGGCTGCAGGCAAGATGTGCGAGATCTTCGAAGCACTCTCACAACCAGCAGTGAATATATACTCCTTTGCGCGTGACTAGCATCTTGATGGAACGCCACTACAAACTGCAGTGGAGATCAATGACTATGGACTCGTCTATGCACTCACAGAAGATAGGGTTGACGTGAACAAACACCATGCTCTTACCCGGTCTCACCAGCTTCATAGACGGCGTCACTAAAAGGCAACAATAGCCTGTTCAGACTGCTAGTGCAGCGAGGAGGTGACATTCATGCTCAAACTGCAGCAGGAGGACTCACTTGCCTACAGGCTGCAGCGATGTTAGGAAGCCAAGAACTCGTTGAGCTACTTTTACAAATGGGTGCCCGAGTCGACGACTACCAGATTGGAAATGACACGACCGTTCTCCAAGCAGCTGTCCTAAGTGGCAGTATAGGAACTGTGCGGGCAGTTCTCCATGCTGGAGCAGACGTCAACGACAGCCGAGGTGTCTGCTCTGCCCTTTACCACGCCGCCTGCGGGCAAGATCTTGAAATGTGTGCTTTTCTCTTACGCAGTGGTGCTTTGGCAGACCAAGAGAACAGAGACAGCCCACTAATTGCTGCAATATTTCGAGACTCGCACGAGATGGCAAACCTTCTCTTGGAAGCCCGAGGCAATCCCAACAGTTGTACTCGATTATTACACCGCAAATAGAGCGAGTCAAGCATGCCACATATTCATTATAAAGAAGAAGGCGAAAACGACGTACAGTTATGGACTCCGCTCGCAGCTGCTTGTTACTGGAGTGACATCGCCATGATTACGCTGCTTTTACAGCATGGAGCTAAACTGCACAAAGGGGTGGAATTTCAGTTCTCTCCCGTCGAGGCTTCAATTTGCCGAAATGACTTCAGTTACCACATTTTTCAGTTTGTAATTTACCCAAGAGCGAGGAATCTAGGAGGTCTAAGCTGGGATGATCGGGAATCACTGGTCAGTTGTGTAGTGCCGACGAACGTGCCATGCGAAGTTGTTCAACAGATGGTTGCTGTTGGCGGGAACAATTAGAGGGAGGTTGGACACGGTACTATAGACTGGCTCAGAGAAGGCGGCTAGGATACTGTCTCCGGTAACACTTAGCAGCCTCATGCAATTACGCGATATCGTACAATAAATTTTCACAAAAAGGGATTGAGTTAGATGTCGCGCTCCATATTCGAGCATAGTTCTAGCTAAGTGCGGTATCAATGTAAAAGCATGGACTAGGAACGGAAGAATAGAATTCCTAGTAATCTATGGTTTCCTAAGCCCCTTACCCAACAACTCTTTCCCGACTTCTAAAATGAGCTTTTCATCTGGGAATTTGGACGTTTTGCCAAGGATGTTGTCTCCTGCACCCACTGTCTGAAGCAGATCCGGGAGATCGCCATCAAGTGGTGTACCGTAAACTAAGTGACCCAGGGCGAGAAGCATTCCATGCAACGCCTCTGCTGACTTTTCTTCCAAGGCTATAGCCTCGACTACTGACGCAGCAAGCTCGATTTCGTCATCCCCTGAAAGAGTAGATTTTGACTCCTGTCTTGCCCGGCGGTTTGCCACTGACAAGTTGAAGAGAAGGGAAGAACCAGCAACTCGCACGTTGTTATGGCTCTCGTCAAGGAAACTCGAAGAGACGAGAAGAATGACCGCAGCACGTAACGAGTTGTCTTGCATGATTTCGTCAGAAAATAGGGGCGTCGAGAAGAAGTTGCAGGCCATCTGGAGCGTGACCAGGCGAAGGGCATAAGGGCATCCCGATTGTTGATTAACAAAATCCAGCACAGTCCGGACTGTCTCATGGTTCTTTTCTTCGGCAAAGTATCCACTGACTCTAGGATCAGAAAGAGCGCATCTAAATAAGTCAACGATAGTGAAAAGAATATCAACGGAGAGTGTCGTGACTGAATCCCTGACAAGGCTCGAAAGGTGGTTCATCTCAGGAATGACTGCACTTGAAGGACCATCCTTTGCCCGATCCTCGAGGTATTTCTTGAGAGCCTGTACCTCTGGCTTCCTAGCAACTTCGTCACCCATCTTAACCAGGAGTTTGTCCAGCGGAGGGACCTTTGCATAAAGAACAGGCTTCACATGGAGATTGGCAAAGGTAGGTAGTCGGAGTCTCTCATGAGGATGAACAGGATGTGCCATTTGCACTAGAAGCTGGACATTTCCTCGAAGGGCAGCTGGATCAGCCCCTGACCACCTGTTTTCCTCCTCACCACGTAGAAATGTCACGATGGTTGGTGTCGCTCTGATAGAATATCGGCTTCCAATTTCGTGGGCCTGGGGCTGTGCAATGTCGACCTTGATCAGTGTGGCTTTCTCCCCAACTTCTTCCGCAAGTTCGTCGTAGATTGGGTAGAGGACCTTGCAAGGTGGGCATGTAGCTGAGGTGAAGAAGACGACCGCACATGAATTCTTTGCCCCGTTCATCAAACGATCGAACTCGACAGAATTGGAAACAATCTTGACGCCATGTTTCGGAGCACTTGGCGTCTGAGCGCTCTGTTGGAGTCCGAGGATAGAGCCATTCTGTCTCCCGGCATTGATCCCTTGAGTAAGCTGAGGAAGAAGCATACGACCCATGGGTGAGTCGAGAACAGCCTGTGGCATTTTGACAATGTGCTCTGGAATACCTTTTCCTAATAGAAAGTTTGCGAACGAATCACTGAAATTATTACAGTTGTGATGAAAGAGGTCATAGGCCTGTTGATCGTTAGACAAAGCAAGCAAAACATGTGGCAAGGGCATTACCTCTAGTGTGAAGATCGGGCGTAGAGAGTCGAGAAACTCTTCTATTACATCCATAGGCAGATTCGTTGTGCCGAGATGGATCTTCTCTAAGGGCTGTCCAAGGTGTGATGAGCCCGGTCTGATTGCGATAATGCCTCCATCATAGACATACTCTTTGCCGTTGAGTTCTATAGAGGTGTGATAGATGGCATCGAGCTGAAAGCCCAGAAGACCCATGGACATTTGGCGTGCCATGCCTCGTGAGAGGTCATAGACAAAGAGTTGGACGTCCATCTTTTGTCTATTGAGAGAAACTTGGTTTTCTTGGCCGATAAGGATCGCAGAGATTTATTCACGGAGGTATTTATGGCTTTATGAAGGGTTGAGCAGAGCTTTGGTAGTGAAGGTTGTGGTTGTTGAGTTGAGCAGGTCGAGTTTTAGGATTCTAGGAGTTGAAGTGCAAGTATGAAAGAATACTATAGGTAGTAGGCAGGCAACATTGCGTCGACCTCACTTGAAACTGGAACATTCTAAAGGCGCTGACGGAGAGAGTTCTACCTAGAAAAGAGGCGCAGTTGAGTCTATATTCTAGAGTCATGGCATAGCCAGAAATAATGGATCGAGCCAGGACACTATTAACGAGAATTAAATAGCTAAAGAGTTATAACTATCTCGTTGGCATCTTTCACATAGTTACTGTTCAAACTTGATAACATCGAAAGTCGCATATTGACCATTGGTGGGGCATCTAAAATTAGCGTTTCGTTCTCTCCCCTGGGATTCAGGGGCTTTTCGCATGTCTCCCCTAAAAGTTGATCTTCCAAGGTTCCAAGCCCCTGACAGATGCGCCAGCTGGACGGGCACTATCGCTATGGCCGTGGAGGTGCGTGTGGAACCTCGATTTTTAAGCATGCAGATTGGCTGTACCACGCAAACCAAACCATTTCCGTATCTCACGAAAACTATCTTTGCCCCCCCTTTCTCACTGTATCCGTGTTAACTTATCGGTCTGCAACTGGAAAAGAGAGAGAGACAGAGAGCCAGCTTGTCAACAGCCAACAACCAAAATCTCATCTCCCTTTTAATTTATTCCTTTTTTTTTTCGCCACGCTCCAATCCCAACCCAACCCAACCCTCGTTTCGAAGTGAACCACTCCCTCCCTCCCTAGAATAATCCGATGGTCGACCGAGTCCAGTCCCTTCTTTAAATAGACAGCCCCCGACACTACAATCTTATCTCCCTTTCTTGCGAGACCCGCGCTCATGAGAACACCCACATCGCCGCCCTCATCAAAGTTGCCCGTCTTCGACCCTCACGAGAAACCAGACCGATACAAGTTTAAGCCCAAGAGGCAAGGCATTATTGGCAGGATGAAGGAGTCTTGGATGACACAGTCCCAGCGGACGAGGTGGATTAAGACTGCCGCCATCGTTTTTGCGATTGTTACCCTCTTCTACTTTATCTCCCCTAAGGGTGTTGAAGTGTATCACGAAGGTACGCCTAGTGGAGGTAGTAGCAGCAGTCGATCGAGAGTCCGAATCGCATTGTGCTAACAAGAAGCAGTCACTCACCCTGCGCAGGGCAACAATGGCCAATCCCCCTCAGATTCTTCCTACGGTACCGATCGATGCACGAAGTCTTACTCCAAGGACAAGCCCATCGTCCAGTATGTTCTCATGATCGATGCCGGCAGCACTGGTTCGCGAATCCACGTCTACAAGTTCAACAACTGTGGTGATACACCCGAGCTTGAGCACGAGGAGTTCAAGATGACCGAGAAGGAAGTCGGTGGCCTCAGCAAGTATAACGGCGACCCTGTGGCCGCTGCCAAGAGTCTTGACCCCCTCATGAAGGTCGCTATGGACACCGTTCCCAACGCCCTCAAGGGCTGCACTCCCGTCGCTGTCAAGGCCACCGCTGGTCTTCGAATGATCGGCAAGGAAGCTTCCGACGCTATTCTTGCTGAAGTCCGACGACACCTCGAGCAGGATTACCCCTTCCCTGTCGTTGACAAGGAGAACGAAGGTGTTGTTATCATGGACGGTTCTCTCGAGGGTGTTTATGCTTGGATCACCACTAACTACCTTCTCGGCAAGATTGGTGGTCCCGATAAGAGCGAGACTGCCGCCGTCTTTGATCTTGGCGGTGGTTCTACTCAGATCGTTTTCGAGCCCACTTTCAAGGGTGCCGCTCACGGCGGAATGCCCGAGAAGCTTGCTGAAGGTGACCACAAGTACGATCTCGACTTCGGCGGCCATCATTTCGAGCTCTACCAGCACTCTCACTTGGGCTACGGTCTTATGGCTGCCCGCAAGGCCATCCATGGCGCTCTCATCAAGGATATCGAGTCAAAGAATACCGACAAGGCCTGGGTCAAGCAACCCATCGTTAACCCTTGTATTGCCCCGGGTATGAACAAGACTGTCGAGGTTACTCTTGATGGCAGTGAGGAGCCTGTTGAAGTTACCTTTGTTGGTCCCTCGCAGCCTGCTCCCGCTCAGTGCCGAAACCTCGCTGAGAAGATTCTCAACAAGGATGAGAAGTGCAAGCTCGCTCCCTGCTCTTTCAACGGCATTCACCAGCCCCTGCTTTCCAAGACCTTCACCAAGGAGGATGTCTACATCTTCTCCTACTTCTTCGACCGCACCAAGCCCCTCGGTATGCCTGACTCCTTCACTCTTCGTGAGATGCACGATCTTACCCAGACTGTCTGCACGGGCAAGTCTGGTTGGGACGTTTTCACCACCATCCCTGATGCTATGCCTGAGCTGGACGGTCGACCTGAGTGGTGCCTGGACCTCAACTTCATGATGGCCCTTCTCCACAGTGGGTATGAAATGCCCATTGACCGTGAGGTCAAGATCGCCAAGAAGATCAAGGGCAACGAGCTCGGCTGGTGCCTCGGCGCCAGGTAAGATTCTACGATTTCTTCTGTTTTTTG